GTACCCCCTCTTTCTGCCCCCCATTGACTGTACGCTCCTAAAAATCATTTGTACACACCTACAAAATCATCCAATAATAGAGGGACACGGAATTAAAAAGACCCGGATTTAAAAGCATTATTGTAAGTTATTATAACTTTTAAAAATTAAAATAAAAAGTAAAGAATAAATAATAACAAAGATTTAGTTAATGTAATGAAAGTACAGTAGTATTGAATCCCTAAATGCAACTTCACATCAGTGCACAAGTTATGCATTCATTTGTTTTAAATGTTTCATTTTTGTTACAGTAATAGTATTTACAGTAAAGTTTGAAAATGTAGTTTATTTGTTGCATAAATATGTGTGTAATATAAAAATAGCTTAAAATTAATCAAATAGTAATATTAATAGTAAAGTAAATATAAAATTATTAAAATTATTATATAATAACACACATAATACTGTATTATTAATATATAAAATCTAATAGTGAATGTACTGTACAATACATAAAACTTATGACTTATAAATTAAAAACTTTAGTTTAAAAAGTTTAGTCTTATTATAAGACTATTATAAGACTCTTATATAAGAACACTACAGAACTCTTACAGTGTGTAAAACATGTACTATGGCAAGTTCTACATATAATATTTTAAAATAATTTAGGTACGAATTGAATATTCATTTATTAAAATTAATATTTAATATTATTACAATTGCATTCAATTAGAAAATATTTGGTCAAAAATTATCATTTGAATAGCATATCATTAGATACATTAAATATTGAACATTTTAAAAGAGTACGAGTTTTGTATTATCTCTATTATTGTTTGAGCATGATTAATTTTAGTCTAAAACCACACGTCGGCAAATATCAAAACAGATGCCCTCCCATAGGAATACATTAATTTGATGTCATATCAAATATTCCTGTGTCTTAACGATTGCAAATTTTACGAAACTTTTTTGTGGTCTAATGAATGTTACCTTAAATAATGATACCATTTTAGTAATTCTAGATGCACCACATCACACTTAAGACCACTTAATTTCCATTTCAACCAATACTTGACTCAAATTATGAAAAAGGTTTGCAAGAAAAACTATGACTTAACCACAATTCTGGTGATGCGAAAAGAAAGTGCTCATAAGTAGCTGTTTTTAAATGAATAATTTACTATTTGTTTAATATTAAACTTAACAAATAGTATTAAAATTAATGTTCAAATAAAAAGTAATTTTATTTTTAAGTTTTAACAAAATAATAGTTAATAAAAGACAATTATTGTTTAAATATAATTTATAATGTTTGTAAAAATGATCATTCTATAGATATTATAGACATTAAATACAATTTACATATGAATACATGATTTAATATTTGTATATATAGTAAGTAAAATAAGATCTTGATATTACTGTAATAATAAAATATAAAGTAGTTGAAAATTTAAATTCAATAGTGATTTGTTATCAATGGTGTTGTCACCGAAGTTGTCTAATGCATGTCTTCAGTGTCTCTAAAGTGCTTTCATATCGTTGTCTTTCTTCATCCAAATTAGATTTCGTTTGCAATAAATTCTGAAATCATTCAAAAAGTCAAATAAAATTTATCGATAATTACATTCAAAATTAGCAAAACTTACGGCCATTTGTTGTCCTAAATGTTCGGCCTTTTTGTTAATGTCTTGCAATTTACTCTTCAGTTCATTACTTCTCTCAAAGAGAAAGTCTTTTTCTTGTTTTCGTTCTGCAATACAATAAGTCATATAAAATTAAATATGAAATAAATGTTTTTAATAACAAAGACATACCACAAGAATATGTGTCATACGCTTCCATAACGGCTTCAATTCCCGGCCACTTGTAGTCAGAAGTGGAGGCAATGTCTACGAAATGTGAGTTATCTTTGATGGTATCGTTCACCTCATTCTTAGATCCCATATATTTTTGCTGTTGTTTTGTTGTCTCCAACAGAACTGATTCGTGAAATTCTTGAGCAAAATCTTTACTCGCATTAGAATTAAGTGTTTGATTATGAGATCTGTTGTCCACAGAAACTGATTCTTTCGATTGTTTGATAAATAAAACAACTTTTCTTTGAGTACGACTAGAGTTTGTGTGAAACGAATTGTTACCCGATTTATGATTTATAGTGTTTGATTATGAGATCTGTTGTCCACAGAAACTGATTCTTTCGATTGTTTGTTAAATAAAACAACTTTTCTTTGAGAACGACTAGAGTTTGTGTGAAACGAATTGTTAACCGATTTATGATTTAATAATCCGTTTTGAATGAATCCGTTTGAATGGAAACGACCGTCGATTTGAAAGTGAAGACTCGACTGAAGACTTGATAGCCATTTATGAAGAGTTTCTTCACTCAAATTGTTCAACACTTTTGTAAAACAATTTTCTCTTTTCATTCGCTGTAATCTTTCGGCTATTATTCCGCTCCACAAGAGTTCCACATCTCGTTGTCTTTCACTTGAATTCTGTTCACATAAACCGATGGCAGACATCAACTCTCGCTTTCTCTCCATATTCTTCTCGACTGAAGCGATAGAATTGGGAGGGATTTGACTCGCAGTCAAAAACTCTGGATTCTCTTTGTTCTCATTTATACATTCTTCCGGTTCTTCGAGTTCGTCAGACAATAGTGTCAATAGTTTTCTTCGTTTAACGCATTTATTAAACTCTATTTGATTCTTCCTTTTATGTGACGTGAGATTAAATACTCCCAAAAATTGCATTTTCTCTTCATTTGTATCCAATTCTAAAGGCAATCGTTTGGTAAGAATTATATTATATTTAAAACGATTGTCTTCACTGTCATCACTGTCTTCGCTCTCTTGATTAAATACTCCCAAAAATTGCATTTTCTCTTCATTTGTATCCAATTCTAAAGGCAATCGTTTGGTAAGAATTATATTATATTTAAAGCGATTGTCTTCACTGTCATCACTGTCTTCGCTCTCTCCTTCTGAATCACTAATGATTGCGTTTTCAAAGCACTTATTCTCTCGTTTTTGTTTCAATTTTAATTCTTTCAAATCTAGTTTAGAAACAACTTTTTCTTCCATTTCTATTCTGTTTATTGACTCGTCATTAAAGACCACTTCTATTGCAATATTATTAGAAATATCTTTCGAAATGTTTTGTGTAGTATTAATACAAACTTCATTATTATTGTCAAATATATCTGTTTTTTCAATCTGTGATTCCTTTTTTATTACTTTGGAAACAGTGTTTTCTGTACTATTTTGTCGACAGATATTGTTTTCATATTTTATTTCGGATTCATTCCTAATGTCTTCGTTCACAACATTATTGTTTCGTCGATTGGAATTCATTTCCAAATGCTTTGCTCTTTGATTGAAACTTAAAGAGTTGTGTTCCGTCTGATCATCACTTTGTGGTCGCCATAAAACTTTTGGTTCTGATCTGAAATTCATTGATTGATCACAATTTGACGAAAGATTCAATGGTTTTATTGCAAATATATTCTGATGTTTGCGATTAATATTCCCAAAATGTGTCACATCTCGCGGAGTTCCGGAAAGTATTGATCCCGAAGTCGAGTGGTTTTTCATGGAGTGATTCATTAAGAAGTGTTCGCTATTGTTATCAAATCTTTCATTATTATTAACTTTCATATGAATGGGTGGACTATCAATGGTTTGTGTATTGGGTTTGTAAGAAGTCTGTGCACTTTGAGAGAGTGTTTGATTCAACAGTCGTTGTCTTTCATCGTTAATAAGTCTTTCCGTTTGTGAGTTCAAGAGTTCTGAATAACGGACTAAATTGAAAGGCACTGAAGATGTTGTGCCGCTTCCGGCCATTGGTAGTGGAGCTGACGGCACGTGTAATTGGCCTCTAAGTAGACCAAAACGATCCATATAATAGGGATCACCCATACTATCAAACAAAATACTACTTAGTTTTGACCACAAGTTAATTAATGTAATACAAACCGATACGAAGCACTTGGATGTGGCGCGTGATGTGACAGTAGATTAGGATTAGTGTGAGGCAGGAATGGGTGATAAGGAAAAGCCAACGCATCATAAGGCAGTAGATGTGATGGCAGTGGTGCTGATGCCAAAGATGTCGAAGAATTACTTCGTAAAATATCTTCAAAACCGCTTCTGTAAGGTTGAAACCCCGTTCGGTTCAGAGTATTATTTTGTTGTGTTGAGTGAATGCCAACTGAATTAAGACTATCGTTATGAACGTGAGAAGGGGATGGCCTACGAGTGATACAAATTGTTAGAGTTGTGGACAACAGGCTGTCTATAATGGTTGACAGACTCACCGAACTTGAACTATAGGTGATGTTCGCTGGGAATGAGAGTATATAAGAGACTCTTTGGGATCGGTATGTATTCTGTGCTCATAATAGGATTGATTGTCGCTTTTTCTCAAATGATTTCTTAAATGATTATCACTTTCACTCCTATCGATCTGATGCGCCGGAATCGGTGCAATCGTCACGATAGGAGGCGAAGGGCCTATCAATCCATTCATATATCTTCTGGAAGTGAAAGAAATTGGAAATATTTTTATAATTATAAGTCAAAAATAGTCTATATCATTTAATAAATTATATAAGCATATACAGATAATACAATATTATATATTGTATAAATTTATGAAAACTTTGTCAATCCTTTTATTTTTCACAAAATGCTATTAAAAGTAATGGGAGAATATTTATAAGCAGATTATCATACTGTATATTTAAAGGTAACTTCTATTATATTGTATATTATACATGCAATTAATAATTGCCAATTATACAGTAAATATTAATTATAAACCCTGTCAGTGGTTGCGTAACAAACAATTATCACAATTTATAAGTGAATTATAGGTATTATAATTTATTTTGTGTTATAAAGCATGTTTAATATAGAAATGAACACAACATTACCCAAAAGGTTGACAGTGAGAGCCAATGCTAGGAATTGATGACTGAAAAGATGTGTTGGAATTTTTGCTATAAGTGGAAGAATGGCTCACAGAGAGGGCTAACGGTGACGGCTGTTGGCCAGAATCGGTGTCAATCATTGGATCAAATGATTGTTTGGCTAATTTTCTGAGTGCGGCGGCAAAGCTGGAAGTTCTGGTAGCGTTTAGAGCAGAACCGGACACAACGTTATGGTATTGGCCTGTATTGCTGTGCGAGGATATGATGGGCACTATAATCGGTGCTATAATCGGTGGGTTCGGAGGCGCTGTCACTTGATATAAAGGCGAAACTGTGGCCATTTTGCGCTGAACACCTCCCGCCGATGTAATGGTTGATATATGGGATGTGTTCAGAGCGGATGTCTGATGGCGTGCTTCAAGACCTGATATGATATATATTTATATATATTGGATCATTTTCGTTACAAAAGACATTAATTGTCAATATATTGATTTCTCTCGTCAGTCACTAACCTCACGTCGACGGCAAGTCTGTCTAACGTACGTAAGTGTGGACCGCAAACACACGGCAAATAGTGAAGCTATTCGCCTAATACTTATACTTCAAACCAAAACAACAAATTAATGCCAATAAATGGTTAAAATATTTCTTATTTAAACATTTTCTATAATGTTATACAATATTATCGTCGAATTAAATGTGTATTTTATGCCA